GTAAGTACCTCAGGGAAAAACCTTGTTCATTGTGGTTAAATTGCACTTGTTTAACATGATCTAAGTGAACGGCTGACTTATTGAAAGTTTAAACATTGTAAATCGATGAGATGATTTCGTGAATCGGCTGTAAAAAGATGTTTAATCATTGTTATTACTGAGCATATCAAGTTAACGAACAGATCGAGCTAGTGTCAATGCTGTTGTACATCAGCTTGTTAACTGCTTTTTTAACGGAGACGTTCGTTGTTAAGCAGTTTGATGAGATTAGAAAATTCCACGGACTTTAAAACATTTTTTCCCCTCTTTTACTAATATTTAGTTGATATTTTGTTAGCTACATACTAAGCTACTGTTAATAAATATGCCACAGCTTGTCAATGTAGCATTAATGGCTTGATAATGACTAATGGTTACTGCTTTGACATTACAGGGACTGATGAACACACTCAGCTCCTTATTCAGTGGAGAGTGGCTAATGAAGCCCTCACTGGAAAGCCTAATGCTGCCATCAAAGGTTTTGAGTAAGTAAACAAGTTATGTAAAATGTACTTTTATTCAGGTGCTGTTGACACTGAACGTAGTAAATACTAACACTTCAAGCAAAGGTCTTACTGCCTTCTTTTTATGCTTGATTTCTGTGCATTTATTGTGACAGAGCAGGGACTTGAGGGCAACATTTCTGCCACTCAGTTCAAAAGAAAGTGAGAGAACCTAAAACAAAAATATAAAGTAAGATTTGTTTTTTTAATTAGTTCACCCCAAAATTTTTATTCGTTCATGATTTGAACATGCTAATGTTTTTCCATGTCATAGTAATGGAGTAATCTAATGAATGTAATTGACTGTCTTGATATTGTGCTTTTCAGACCCGGGATATCCAACAAAGATATCGAGGAACTTCCCCTTGTGGTCGGTGATGGCCTGCAGCTGAACAGATTGGAACAGCTTCCTATTACAATAGCATGGGGCGTCACTTGCTGGTGGCTTGATCCGGATGTGGCATCTGTCTATTGCACCAGCTACCATGTGGAAAACTGGAGACCCAGCCAGCTGGGCAAAACCTGCCTCCATGTCATCCGGGGTCGGGAAAGCGATCAGCCTCCTCAAAATTCTGTTGACTGCCCTGCTGATTCTGTGCACAATGTCATGCACCGAGGACTTTGGGATGTCAAAGCCCAGTGACACCAGCCAGTAGAGAAACACCAGCACCTCAACATCTTGTTCCCAGCCATGGTCAGAATCTGACTTCAAAGCAGCGATGAGGGACATGATGGACTGTCGTGAAAGCCGGAGGTTTGGACGGAGGTCAGATCCATCTTCCAAATACAATCGAAGAATTGGCACAGCAGCATTCAGGCGGCAGTAGGTTGAAGGGCTCACAGTCTGTAAATGTGTGTGTGTGTGTGTATATATATATATTTTTTTTAGAATATGTAATTTATTTATTATGTTTATATTTTGTTATTTGTATATATTGTATCTATCTATAATATTTATTTAGGCTATGTATATATTGTATGTATTCATTCTCTCCCTCTCTTTATTTATCCAATTGTGAGTGACCGACTGAGAGGGAACTTTATAAATACTACCTATACACATTTAAAAAAATAAAGAGATTAAATAAAAACGACAAATGCATAAAACTAAATTTCATAAAGCTAAAAACAATTCAAAATAGTAAAGAACAAAAGGTATAAGTATAATAACGATTCTAACATAACACTAAGCCAAACACCAAAAAAAAGAAAAAAAACTACATGTGTTTGTACAACCACACACACATACATATATATATATACATATTTATAAATTCGTTATATTATTTCATTTCCATTTAGTTTGTTGAAGTATTAAAATAACTCAAATTAAATAAAACAAAAAACTTAATAAAAGACCTATACAGACATAATTTAAATAAAATTAAAATAAGTACAAATAATATAAATCAAGTGACAGTAGTTTATCAGTAATCCTAAAACATCAGTGATCTGCGAGCAGCTGACCGACGCCTCCTCTGAGCTGTTGATCCAATCAATGTTAAAACGCGATGAAAGCGGTAAGAATAACGTGAAACACTGCTGATGTTCGCGCAGTAGTGAGGGCTCTTTACATTTGGGCGCTGTTGTGAAGACACATGTCACGTGACAACATCAACATGGCGGATGTAGTACGTCCGAATTCCATTCATACTGTATAGAACATACTTTTTTAACGGTCGAGTAGTACGTTCAAATTCAAATGTAGTACCTACTAAGCAGTATGCGATTTCGGACGCACCCATGGTTCTTTAATATCACCTAATTTTCCAGCGATTTTCAAACGATTCGTTCAAAGCAGTTCTAAGATTCAGTCTCTCTAAACCCCTCCTTTCCGTGAGCCTGCTCTGCTCTGATTGGCCAGATTATTTATCATACTTCTGATTCATTGGAGCCAGCTAGTCCAAATAAACAATATACTGATCCATCTTTCAAGAGCAAGCGTTTAGTGAATCCCGCGTTAAACTCCCCGAGATTTTTTTTTTTAACTCCCTGAGATTAGAGAAGCAGTCGTCAGTAAAATGGCGTGTTTGTGGGCGGGGTCGAGTTGTTTGCTGCCGGCCAACGTAGAACATGGGCGGGAATTATGCAAATGTGTTACCCTGTGACGTTTAGCCATCACGGAAGTGGTATTCGAAATACTAACGACTCGTTTAGGCTGTACAGAGTCGATTCTTTATTTGCAAATCCTCACAACACATGCAAATGAAGAAACGCTGCAAATCCTCACAACACACGCAAATGAAGAAACGCGCTGCAAATAGAACGGACGAACGGAAATGTTTCAAGGGGACCCAAAAAAAGTGACGGACCCTGCTGGGATTTGTTTTGTGCAGTGGCATTTATTTATTTATTTATTTATTTATTTGAGTTTCTGCTAGTGATTCCTTATTTATTTTTTCTCAAATACAATGTGCAAACTTCAGTCAACTTGTTTTTGTTTTTCAGATCAAAATGTATTGCCCTTTCTGTGGCATCCAATGGCTGACTTTGCCAAGATTTTGCAGTTCATGTGGGCGAGATGTAAGCTTTGTCGTAGAGAATGCCCCTAGAACGGCGGGTGATGACCAGGTGTCATCAAGCAAAACAAAAAAGTTTGCACGTTGTATTTGTATTCCACTGTCCTTTCTTTCATTATCCTACTAAAAGGCCCTGATTAAATAATCATTTTAAATATTATTCTTACTGTCAATCTGCAATTTATTTTGACCTGGTTTTAACAATTAATGAAGCATTGCGGATTTCATTAACCTTGAAATTATATTTAGTTGAGAATATTTAATTAAGTTAGCCATCTTATATAACGTTTCACAGTTACTCGTGTAATTCGTCAGATTATTTAGGCTAATAATATCTAAAAGACAAAGGAATCATGCAATCAGGGAGTTAAAATATACAAAAAAAACCTCATCTTTCAGTTCACCGACAACTCCACTGACCAATAGCCACTGCACAAATTGTATGCCCAATTTTAGGATTTTTTGTATTGATTTGAAATGATTTTCTGAATCTCTCTGCTCATCACTTAATAAGAAAGCTGTTAAAATTACTGTGTTGATGGAAAAATATTGACTTTGATGTAAGGGTTACCTCCTGTGTATTCTTTGAAGTTGACATTTTATGTGTAATTTTCCATTTAAGTTATTTTTTATTTTAATTTATTTATGATTTATTTATTTAAGAAAATGGAAAAAAAGAAAAGATGTTTAACTTTTTATTTATTTGTTTTTGTTCTGTTTATCTTTCATTTTTATTATTCTTTATATATTTATTGTTTTGTATTCTGGTTGTGTATGTAATTTATTGCTATGACTGTATACCCTGTGAATGTTATATCTTCAATAAAGAAAAAAAAAAAAGGAATCACTAGCAGAAACTCAACAAAAAAAAAAACAACTGCACAAAACAAATCCCAGCAGGGTCCGTCACTTTTTTTGGGTCCCCTTGAAACATTTCCGTTGTGGTCCGTGCTATTTGCAGCGCGTTTCTTCATTTGCGTGTGTTGTGAGGATTTGCAGCGCGTGTGTTGTCAAACTGATGAAGATGTTTTCTTAATTTGCTGGTGTTTTTTCAATTTGCATGTGTTTTCTTAAGTTGCAGCGCGTTCAGCTCTCTCGGCCACCGTAGGAAATGGCATAATAGGGGCACTTTAAGAATGTCTTGCTGGTTTTGTGTTCAAAGCCTGGTTTGTCTGTGTGCACATTGCAGGTGTGAGATCGACTTGTCTGGGTTGCCGTTGAATGAATCCACACTGTTTACCCATGAGCTGGACCCGGGCCGAGGCAGGGTGGTGTTCCTCGTCACTCCCACTCCCTGCACTGGAGCTTCCATCACGGATCTCGTCGCTCCTCCACTGGAAGAGCCTCATGAGAGAGACAACATGCTGGTTAAATATGTGTGTTAAACTGATTACTCTACCACAGTACTTCCTTATGCATGCTACAGAGTGCATACTGCATACTTTGGCATTTTAAAAAAAGAACGTGAAAAAGAATGTTTAAATGTCATACTATGGCATCTAAAAGAAAAAGAACATGTATAAAATAATAGTAAGCAATAACAATATGCAGTCCTGATCTCTCCTTTATTTTTTTTTTCTCGGCAGAGTTTCAAGAACTCCCTGAAGGATTTGAGAGATGTTGGTTTTCTTCAGGTTAAAGTGATCAAGGCCACTGACCTCATGGCTGCTGATCTAAATGGTATTATTTATTATTTGTTGATTACACAAAGAGTCTTTTTTTAGTCGTGAGCAAGGGTGTGAGCATCAACAACCACGTTCACTGGATCTTCTGTATATGTGTTTAGGAAAGAGTGACCCATTTTGTGTTCTGGAATTGGGAAACAACCGGCTGCAGACCCACACCATATACAAGACCCTCAACCCTGAGTGGAATAAAGTCTTTACATTGTCAGTATCAAGATTTATTAATGTACTCTACCATTCCATACTTTACCATACCTTATGGTCAGTAAGATTAACATTAATTAATAAAGTTGATACTTTTATTGGATGCAAGGATACATTAAATTGATCAAAAGTCACAGTAAAGACATTTATAATGTAAAATTTTTTATTTAAAATAAACACTGCTCTTTTGAAATATGTGTGCATCAAAAAATCCTTAAAAAAATGTATTACCGGATCCAGAAAAACTTTTCAACTATGATAATTATATGATTTCTTGAGCAACAAATCAGCATATTAGAATGATTTCTGAAGGCTCATGTGACACTGAAGACTAAAAATTGGCTTTACCATCACATGAATAAAAGTACATTTTAAAATCTATTGAAATAGAAAACTGTTATTTTAAATTGCAATTATTCACAGTATTACGGTTTTTGTGAGCATAAGAGACTTTCAAAAACATTAAACAATCTTACAAACCACAAACTTTTAAACAGTATTCTATATATTATTTTGTATTATCAAATTAATAGTGACATTTATTCCAATTCTCTTGTTGACCAGCCCAGTAAAAGACATTCATGAGGTTCTGGAAGTGACTGTGTTTGATGAGGATGGAGACAAAGCCCCAGATTTCTTGGGGAAGGTGGCCCTTCCTTTACTCTCGGTAAGTGCAGAACATTGACATAATTTGTGACCCTGGACCACAAAACCAGTCATAAGGGTAAATGTTTCGAAATTGAGATTTATACATCAGATAGGACAGAACAAGGACAGTTAGGATAGGACAATATTTGGCCGAGATACAACTATTTGAATATCTGGAATCTGAGGGAGCAAAAAAATCTAAATATTGAGAAAATCGCCTTTAAAGTTGTCCAAATGAAGTTTGTAGCAATGCATATTACTAATCAAAAATTAAGTTTTGATATATTTATAGTAAATTTACAAAATATGGTAAAAACAAAATTCCACTGTAAATCACTTTGAGTCAAATATCACCTCGTAATGGGAAGGCAAATTTTTGATCAAATTTTGGATTATTGATTAGAAGGTGCTCCTAAATTTTTGTCTGTGCTCCTACATTTTTTAAGTTAGGAGCACAAGTGCTCCTAAAAAGAAAAATAAGCGTAGAGCCCTGCTTACCATAATCGCAGCTTCAGCTTTCAAAGTAAATATCAAGACAGTTAATAATGCGGTTAGTTTTACCATCAGTTCAAGCCCGAAAAGGGCAACAAGAGTCGCATGACAGACAGTGATGATGCAGTACACAAGCCACGGTTAAGACAGCTGACGTGCTATGATTTCTGACCCTGTTTTTTTTAGAAATAGCCTTTGTGCACAGCCAGCCTTGTGCTCTTTGTCGTCCATAAAATGCGTTGCACAAATTCGAACATCTGGGTTGTGCTGTTCTGTTGTAAATAAATCTTAACCAATGATTACTAATTGCATCTACTTCTGGAAGGCCAAATAAAGTGGTTTTGCTTTCGCACTGAAACACACAGCGTCTCCCTGACATGGCTGCATCAACACTACTGCTGTTCCTGAAACCACGCCTTCTTTCTTTGCGTGCACATTTGGGCGGCATTATGCTAATATTTCCGCATAGGGACATAGAGATGTGGGGGCGTGTTAGAACGAGCCGTTTTAGGTAGGCGTGGTTGACTCTTAACTTTTATAAAGAATATCTCTTTGGATTTGAGACTTTAGTCTTTGCAACTTTACAGATCTTCTTTATGCACCAAGAGCTTGTAACACTCCAAAGAGAAAGGAAAACTTGAAATCGCATTATATGACCCCTTTAATATCCTAATGATTTTTGGCATAAAAGAAAAATCAATAATTTTGACCCATTAATTTTAGAGCAATGGTGTTGAATTGGAATGAATATGTGTGAATGTTGTTCAATGGTTTTTTATTTATTACTACAGATACGTAATGGTCAGCAGGTTGCTTGTCCTCTGAGGAAAGAGAATTTGGGAGGACTGTCTAAAGGAACCATAGTACTGGAGCTGGAAGTCATTTTCAATTCTGTGAGTCTTGACTGATAATAACAACAAAGAGATTACACCTTTATTCAATAGTTCAGTATGATCAGCCAAGCAGAATATGAAACGGCCAAGTCACATTTATTCATACAGCACTTTATACAGTTTAGATTGCTTCACGTTCACATACATACTGTATATAAATATCATATATTAAAATCCGTCAGTTATGAACCAATTTGATTTCAGCTATTAAAGCAGCTCTACAGAAGATAATAGTGCCATTATTTAGCTAAAAAATACTGCGCTCAGATACATTTTCAGCACCTGATGTATATTCTTGTATGTACTGTATCCGTAAAATAGTTCATATGCTCAGAGACTGTATATTTAATAGTTTGAATTGTTCAATGCCTTGGCCAGATCAAAGCAAGCATCAGGACCTTCACACCTAGAGAACAGAAGTTTATGGAGGACAATGCCAAGTTTTCTAAGAAGGTATGACGTTCAGAAATATTATAGCATCAGTAGAGTATAGTATAAGTTGGGTAACATCCACACATAAATGTGTCAATGTATGAGCTGCTAACTATCTAACAACCACCAGGTTCTTGCCAGGAATGTTCTTCGCGTGAGGAACCTTTATCGTGCTGTGTGCCATGCCAACCAGTTCATCAAGAGCTGTTTCCAGTGGGATTGCATTATTATGCTGTTACATTATGATTGTATATTCAGTGGCATAAAATGGTTTTTAAAATTACAATAATATCACTTATCGCAGTTATTTCTGGGGCAATATATCGCACAACAAAAAGTTGTTATCGTGACAGGCCTAGCCGCTACAATTAAAAACTGAACGCGGCTGCTCCATTCAGCGTGCCGAACGACAGTCGCATCACAGATCAGATTTCATTTATCCAGTGA